CCCCCACCCTTGGGGCCCGTTGCCTGGAGCGCCCGGAGCGGCCCAGACCCCGGGCTCTGCGGCCGGCCTCCCCGAGCGCGAGCGCGGAGCGGGCTGCCTGGGACCCGCAAAGATCAGGGGCAGAGCGGGAACCCCGCCAGACGCCCACCTTCTGGGGCTTGCGACCCTTCTGGGAAGACCCCCGAAGCCCCAGGCCCGACTGGGCCTCCTGCGGAGCCGACGAACCTCCGCGCCCGCTCCACCCCCACCCGCGCCGCATCAGCCGCTCTGGTCCTGCTGCTCCCAGATGCGTGGAGTCACACGATTCTTCCCTTAGTTTAAACTTTGCTTCCTTAGCCTCTAACGTACACATTAAGCTTTCAAATCTTTTTTGAAAACAGGTTTAAGGGTACAGTGGTTAGAAAGGGCCTGGGTGAAGAAAGGTGTGGGGCTTTGGGGACCAGTGGGCACAGAGCAACGAACGCAGAGGGAAAGAGAGAAACGTCCATTTCAGGATGGCGTGTGGGTCTGGCCCTGGTCTGGGCACGGAAGTGAATGAGGAAGTAACCTCAGGAGCCGGGGGAGAGGGGTGGGGTGGGGTGGGGCCGGGGTGGCCTACTCTCCCAGCCTGAGCCTCCAGTTTGATGCCAGGATCTGGGTCTTCTGGGTTCTCCCAAGATGGGCCATAAACCCAGCTGAGCATGGAAGGAAAGAGCCAAAGAAGGGAATTAAAGAATAGGGTCATCAAGGTCCAGTTAGGAGGGCTACTTGGCAGCACAGTATTTGGCAACATACGGCTTTACTTTTGGACTTCTTACATTTTATCTTACTTACTTTTTTTTTTTTAAATTTTAAGTAATCTCTACACCCAATGTGGGGCTAGAACTTACAACCCGCAAGATCAAGAGTGTCCTCCCACTGTACCGACTGAGCGGGCCAGGCTCCCCCAACTTCTTGCATTATTATGATTATGATTATTTCTGTAGAACTCTTGAAATTGGTCACTGTTGTAAAAATATGTGACGAAATATCTAGCTGTTATCCAAATGATGCTTTGAGTGAATTTTTCAAGACACAGAGACATGTTTCTATGTTAAGTGAAAAAAGTGAATGTAAGTCAGAATCCTTGCGCATTGAAAATGATTGGAGGAAACATGCCAAAATACATACAGTAGGTAGTGGGATTATGAATGGTAACGGTTTTCTTTTTTTATACTCCCCCCCCCATAGGGCATATTTTACTTTCATAATCAAGAAAAAAAAATCATATTAAAGAGAAGGACAGGCATGCATCCATCTCAGCCAAGGCCAGGGAGCACTTGTGATCTCTCCCCATGTAGAGTTCTCAGAGGCAGGGACAACGGTTTTTGAGGGCGGGGTGGGGGGGTGGGGGGGAAGGAGATGGTAACACCCCCCCCATCCCTGTTTCTTCCTGGACAATCTCCTTCCAGAGCTCTTCCCTGCTAAAACTTAGAGGGTTTACGTTTTCCTTACAGCAGCCCGTGGCAGAGTAAAGGAGCATGCCCTGCTGGCACCTTAAACACACAATATTCCCAAAGCAAGTAACTGCCGAGCAGGCGTGATCACCGTGGAAAGGCCAATTCTCGGTGCTTGGCATTTTCCTTTTCCTGTTCCTTCTGGCTGGAAGACTTTTACTTTTGAGGTACTCGCTAGATGACTGTGACTTCATGGAGATCCTCCACCTAAACAGAACAAGAAGCCAATCCTGTTGCATTTCTTGTGAAAAATGCCTAAGCATCCGCTGCTGTCCTTTGGTTCCATATATAGCCCCCAGGGCAGCATGCAACTCCTCGGTTATTGCATATAACGTGTATGTGGGTTCCTTTCTGCAGCTTCTCCCTTTTGGAGGCAGACTTACTGTGAAACTACCGAAAGCCTAACCCCAGCCCCCCACCCCTTGCACAACCTCTTCCGCTATCATGGAAGGGGCTGCCCTCACCGTGTTCACATGGTCACATGCTTCTCCGAAATCTGCAAAGTAAGAGATTTTAGCCACAATTGTTAGGACCTCTGTCTCTCCCCTCTGTGACACCAGGGTGGTGCTGGGGAGGCTGTGGCTTTTTTTTTTTTTTTTGAGAAGTGTTTTGATACTATGTATCAGCAACAAATGGTCAGGTCAAAAGAAACTCTTCTTCTTTTTTTTTTTTTTTTAAAGATTTTATTTATCTTTTGACAGAGAGAGAGACAGTGAGAGAGGGAACATAAGCAGGGGGAGTGGGAGAGGGAAAAGCAGGCCTCCTGCGTAGCTGGGATCATGACGTGAGCCGAAGGCAGACGCTTAACAACTGAGCCACCCAGGCGCCCCAAAAGAAACTCTTCTAAACTGTTAGTAATGAACACTTAGATAAATCATTCTAGAAGAAAGACTGAATTAACTTTCTGTTCTCGATACGGCGCATATTACAAAAGGTTGTCGTCATATGTAGAGGCAAAGATTACACAAAGACGTACATAAAAGGGTATTAGAGAGTCAGAATTAATTAATACAGGTATTTTACTTTTCTGAATTTTTCAATGTTAGTGGTATTTGGCAACTTTAAAAAATTGTAACTTGTGATTTATTTTCTCATTGTAAGTATATACACTTGTACTTATTTTATATTCTTAGTTGTGTATTTTTTTTTAAAGATTTTATTTATTTGAGAGAAAGAGAGAGAAAACATGAGCGGGGAGGTGGGGAGAAGAGGAACAGAAGGAGAGGGAAAAGCAGACTCCCCACTGACTCCATCCCAGGATCCTGAGATCATGATCTGAGCTGAAGGCAGACGCTTAACCCACTGAGCCACCCAGGCACCCCAGTTGTGTATTCTTTAATAATATTATGTAATAACATAATAATTGATATAAATAATATATTAATATAGAAATAATTATATAAAGAAAATATAAACATGTAAATATAAATTATATAATAATTAATAATATTATATAAACTTCAGCCTTACAAAACCCAAATTCCTCCTTCCCTCTCCATTAATTTTCTACCTTCTAACCAGGTAATCTTCTCGAAACATTTTCCTTACGCTAATAATCTGGAGGAGCTCCCCTCATCTCCCTCAGGAGGGTAGCTGAAGGATGGCAGAAAGTAGCCAATATTGGTTGAGGGCCAGAGGGGCTGCTCCATGTGTTGTAGCACTCAGTCCTCACAGTTAAGGGGTTATAACTCCCATTTCACAGATGAGGAGACTGAGGCCCAAAGAATTAAGTAACTTGCCCTGTGGTGGATTCGTACTGGGTCAATTTAGCTAAGCTGTAACTGCATTTCCTAGAATTCCCCTTCCTGCGCAGTTTCGAGTTAGCATGGGCATTTGTACTTAACAGGAAGGAATTTTTGTACAAGATTTAGAAAGTGCAGCCATATTCCTTCACTCTCAGGAGGTTGGGGCAGGGCATGGGGCATTGCGGCAATTCCTAACATTGTGGCTTATCTGCTGACATCCTGCATGGTTGGGACCACAGGAAGGCCCGAGGCTCCCCCAGCTCCTGCTGGATCTTCTGTACCACCTCCCTGTCTCCTGGGCCAGGAGCGTTTTAGCTCCATGACAAAGGGCACCAGAGTTTCCTGCAGGACACCCGTGCTGTCATCCAAATTGGAGGCTTGGAGATGGTGAGAGACTGACTGACAGTGGTTCCAGCTCAGCTTTGGTTTCCAGCTTGTCCTTGCACCCTCCAACCTTCTCTTCCCCACCACCTGCCCTGAGAGCTGTAGGCTCCAGCCCCAGACACAGGAAAAATAGTCCCAGACACACTGGGTGGCCAGCCCCTGGGATTGCCCAGGGTCAAACTCCTATCACACACACACCCCACAGCCCACATGGTGTTTCTGCTTCTCTGACCCAAAGCTGGCTGATCATACCCCCAAAAGGCACAGCCAACAGGTGGTGGGGTAGGCTCTTGACCAGTCCCATCTAGCTACAAAGCACCTTGCATCTCACCCCAAACTTCTCACCCCACCATATCAGTCTCCCCATCACCAGGCCTGGCTTTGCCTGCTGGATCTTACTTTCTGTGACTCCCTGACAAGACCCGCTAGTCCATCCATCCATCCTTTGATGATGAACTTTCTGAGGGAAGATAGCGCACTCCTCTTCTGATGCTATCTGCCCTACTTCCTTCACCTCTCACCTCTTCCCCTGCCCACACCCCAAATTCTAAAACTCCATCTCTTGCTGGAACTTCCCCTCCCTGAGCACTTGGTTGCCCTCCCTGACCACTACCTTCTTCTGTTCAATACCAGCCTGGGTCAACCTTGACCTCCGTTGAGGCAGTTGCCTCCACAGGGCAGGGAGGGGGGTGAGTGTCCTCCATAGATTCAAACAGAGCAGCAAGATCTGAGCCCCCAAAGTAGGCCCTGAGCATGGCTAAGTGGAGCCTTGATTTGTCACTTGGAGTCCGTTCTGAGAAAAGCCAACAGCAAGGGCAGAGGGATGGGCATAGAAATACACGGACAAATTCACCTCAGGGCTCCAGTGCCCCGGGCCTGTCTTCTCACTGTGTCTGTCATCTTGCATCTTCCTGCAAATTTGCATTTCCGGTCCCCCCCTTCCTGTGGGCCCCATAAAACCTCATTACAAAAAGACAGACTCTCTTCTTCTTCACCTCCTTCTATGAGGGACCCTTGCAAGAGTACCTATCACAAAGGGCGACATTAT